TGAAAGCAAACTACTTTGAAGATGAAAAACTAAACTTTTCTTTATTGCCTCATTTTCCCCTATCTCATTACAATCACTACTTGTTTCCTTTTATACACGATTCTACTTTAGGGTTTTAGGAATCATCTCGCTTCAACGTCTGACAGATGTCAGCAATCTGAATCATCTTCTTTTAGAGATGAGAGAGGAGCGTATCGATTGCCTTGACCCTCCGTACTGCCAGCTTGATTTTCTCCTCTTTTTCCCTCTTGCTCTGTTCTGTTTTCTTTGTCCGTTTGTGAAGGTACATAAGACCGTTGGTCTTTGATTCCTTTTGTCATCAACTTGGGCCTCGATATATCAGCTGTGGGCTTCAATATCTTCGTCTCTTTGTTGAGCCCATCAGGCGAAACCTCCATTTCCATCAGAGGCTTTAATGGTGATATAAAAGCCTCTGTTTTCGAAGGTTGAAGTCTTACAGATATGACTTCAATTTCCTTGGACCCTTCTTGTTTGGTGCTCTCATCGTGCTTATTGTCTTAACACCACTTATTCCGAATTTCGCCATATGCATTAGAGAGAAAAGTGAGAGTTTTAGGCTTAGCTTATGGTAGCATTCTTTAGGCTAAGAAGTTAGAAACTTGATTATCTCATTAGCCTTTACAGAGAATGAGAGATTTAGCCTATGGGATATTGTTGCATTCGTTAGGCTAAGAAGTTAAAAACTTGATTTCACTATAGGCATTAGAGAGTAAGAGTTTTTAGCGTATTGAATGTGGTAGTTTTGGTAGCATTCTTTTTAGGCTCAAAGTTAGAAATATGATTTCACTATATAGAGGCATTACAGAGAAGAAATATTTAGCCAGTGAATGTGGTAGTTTTGGTAGCATTGTTTTTAGGCTAGGAAGTTCGAAACTTGATTTCACTATCGGCATTACAGAGAATGAAAGTCTTAACCCTATGAAATGTGGTAGCTTTGGTTTGAGTAACCGGGTTTCGGTTTATGGATTTATGTTGTGCAGATTTTGTTCCTTTTAGGAAGGATATCGGTGATGATCTACGGTTGTTTAGCATCGATAATATTCTGCGGGTACATAGTCTATGATACAGACAATCTGATCAAACGACACACATACGATGAGTACATTTGGGCAGCGATTTCGCTCTATCTAGACATCATCAATCTCTTCATGTCTCTTCTTACTGTATTTAGAGCCTTACAAAGATAAGGATTATGAAGCTGAGGCAATATAGTTTCATGGTCTCTAAAAATGTTGAAATAAGAAAATGTTTAGCTCTTGATTATTGTCACATGTCCATGTATTTATAGAGGGAACACAGAAACAGTGGATCAAGAAATGATTATAACGAGAATGCCAAAGTATGTGTGTAGTGTAGTAAAAGAACACTCATTCACGAGAATTTTTTTTTTTTTTTTCAACACATTCTTCATTAATCATACAAAGCTGTAGAATACAGCGATTGAAAGCAATAAACAAATAGAAGAGGATAACAAAAAAGCTAATAGACAACGAATCCAAAAGAAACACCAAATGCGTCAAAATAGACTTCATAAGATAGGGTAAACGGTTTGAGTCGTAGACAAAAATCGAAAGCTTCTTCAAAAGGGCTTCAGAATCGATTGCAAGCAAATCGATCTCAAATTCTTCGGCCATTACCGGCAAAAGAACATTAATAGCTGCCTTAAAGGTTAGACTTTTGTGAACCCACTCCAAAGAAGTGGTTGCGATAATTCTCTCCTTGGCGGAGGAACTTATATAGACGTAACCGAGTTTAAACAAGCTCGTTACGGGAAAGCTATGGGTAACACCCAAACAAGTACAACTCCGGGCTAAGATCATCATGAAAACGACGGGAACAAATTGTCCCGGTGTCCCTTCGCCGGCGAGGAATAGGACTGAAAACTTTGCTACATACACCATGAATGGTAGTAGTTTCTGCCAGCAAAAGGAGTAGGATTGGACATGTCTAAAACACATATCGGAAAATCTCCAACCAAATACACAGCCTTTCATCAAATCCGGTAACCAAAAAAGAACGAGCACAAACCTAGTTTGTGGTTGCTGGATGGAAACGATTGTGGTTTTTATCAGATTGTAAGCGATGAATGTAATAATCAGAAGACGAAAGCCGGACAAACTGAACCGGCAGCGACGTGGGCCAAGCCCATTAAGGGAGACCGCTTGGAGAATTAGGTAAAGGCTGTCTCCATCACATGAAGGTGAGGGAGGTGGCGAGCCGTCGACGAAGACCGGTGAGGAGTTTCTTCGGGAACACCGAGAGAGATTTAGATCCAGTGGATCTGACAGAGCTAATGAGACGAATCTCAGATTTGAGAGATGACGCGCAAACTGTTTCAAGTGACTCCTCTTTTGTCGATTTCGTCAGCAACGTTGTGAGTTGAGCATGTAGAAGGAGATCCGCCGGACTCCTTTTCCTTTCTCTATCACAGATCTTGACAACCACGAGACACTCAAACAACAAGAGGGAAAGAGAACCAAAAGAGAGAGACTTTGCAAGGGAAACGAAATGAGATCGGAAACTCCCGACGCCGGCGAGCAACGGCGCCTCCAGCGTTGGAAAAGCTTGCCAAAGAGAGAGCCTCGAAAATGGTGCCTAGGAGATTTTTCTTTATTCACGAGAATTATTTATTTTCTCTTTTTCTTAATTAGAAAAAAAAAATTAAAATTATACCAAAAGATTTGAATTTTTAACGAGAAAGACTTGAAAAAACTAGAAAAAGCAAAACATTGGAGGCCTCGAGGCTCGAAGAAAAAGAAAGCTAATGTTGATGATTGTGAAATCTAAAGAGATTTCATGATGAATCTCACATTTCTAAAAGAAGTTATTTTATTCATTGGAAACTCAGCATTGTTAAATCGATTTGAAAAAACTAGAGTCTGTTAATTGAACGCACTACTACAACTACTGCTACTGCGTTTGCATTCAAAAACACAATCAAAAACGCAGTTAAACATTAACTTCAATCCCCATTCACATGAACAATAACGTTTGTTACTTGTGAGTGAACAAGTTCAAGGAGACCGCAGCTGCTGAACGCAACCGCAAAACGCCGACCTTTTCTTCGTCGCTTTCTTCATCGTTACGCTTCTCGATCCACCATAGATATAATCCCGAAGAAGAACTTTCGATTTGGAATCCGAAATCTTCGACCTAGCTCGATTCTCTTTCTCTCCTTCAAGTTTCATCAACAGAAACTGTATCCTCTGTATCTCCAACTGTAATCTCCCAATCTTCTCTGATCCTCTTCTCGCGTGTTCCGATATTCGCCTTCTTCGATTACTCTCCTTCTCTGACTCTGCTTTTGTGGTCAGCTTTCGATTAACGTTAAACAGTTTCTCTATTGCTTCCTCTGCTTCTTCGAGCTGTCCTCTGATCGTTTCGTATTCGTCTCCTACTTTCGTCTTGTCTTTCTCCTCTATTTCGACTTTGTTTTTCAAATCTTCTACTGTGATCTGAAGATTCTCCAGCTTCCGTAAATCCGAATCAAGTCTTTCGAGAACTTTCCTCTTGTTTACTTCTACGTTTGGATCCATGCATCCATCGAAAATCTCTAATTTATCGACGATCAATGACTCTTCAGACAAGGATTTACCTTTCGCTTTAACCGCAGTTTCTGTCTTGCGAGTCTTCACCGGCTTTAGCTCAACGAAACTGTGACAATCTAACTCCAAATTACCTCTCTTACTTACTATCTCATATGATGATCCATCAGACGTTTGGTCAAGCACAATATCTTTCATTACCATCTCGATTTCGTGACTCTGCTTCCGCGTTCTGCCACTTCCTCCTTCTTGCGGCTTCCTCATGCTTCTTCCTCCTCCGGTTTTTAAGTCTTTGACTTGTTTCAATGCTGCCTCGAGCATAGTGTAGGCATTCGTGTTCTCAAGCACCAAAAACCTTTCCTTTTCCATTACTGCCTCTGCAATAGCTTTGATTCTCAAACACATATCTTCCAACTCGAGGAATTCATCATCACCCTGGTAAAGAGATGAGATCAGTTCAAACAATTTTCTTCAACGGTTACAGTTTCATCAAACAATCAACTTTAAAAGTGGCGATCGAGGAGATAAACTTACATTGGAAAGTCCATCGTCAATTTCACGTCGCACGTAAACATAGTCCTCCAAAGATTTAATGCTTTCATTCAACAAAACAATAGCTTGGCTTCTTTTAAGCTTTTCAATATCCATGTCTTTCGATGCGCTCCTACTTTCAAGATTCTTGCAGGCTTCAGCTAGCTTAAGATTCGTCGCTTCAATCAATGTTTCATGTACAGCAGAGATCTGTTTATCGCAGAAGAATGTTGCAGCTTGAGACTCCCACAGTTCAGCCTCACTTCTCTCTTTAAAAACCTCGTGATTCAGCTTTTCTTTCTCCACTTTGATTTCTTCAAGTTTCTTCTCCTTCTCGCGTAACTGATCCTTCATATTAGCAATTTCATCTTCTAAATCATCTTTGGCTGATCTGATAGAAATCAGGTTTCTCTTCAACTGGAAATTCTCAGTTTCTGCATCTATTAACTTACCACCAGTCTTCCTTGCCTTACCCTCAAGGTTCTTCTTTTCTGTTGCAATACCGACTGCATCTGCGTTAAGTTGTCGAAGAAATTCAACAAGGACGATGTTCTCAATTGCAGTGTGTTGGTTTTCAGAAATTAGACCTGATTTCTCTTCTGCGAGTGACTGACAGGCTTCCTTCAACATATTCAGCTTTCCTTTGATTGCTTTCAACTCAAAATTCAATTCTGATATTGAGTTTTCCAACAAAAGGTTTTTCTGAACAAGTTTTTCCATAGTTTCCAGCTTCTCAAGAAGAGCCATCTTTTCGCTTTTTTCTATCTCATTGCATTCTTTTAGGGTTGAGTTTTCCTCCTGCAACTCTCTGGCTGATGACCCAACCAACTCGTGTTTCTTCTCTACATGACTTAATTCCTCTTTAAGACCGTATATTTCTTGCTGCAAAGCATTTCTCTGGTCCACTCTTAGTTTGACCTCTGTTTCAAGTTTTTGTATTGTTTCCTTTAAGCTTGAGACATCCTCTTGCAAACTTTTTATTGATGCTCCCGAAGTGAGATTGAGCTCATTAAGACCTTTGTTCTCAACCTTTGCTTGCTGAATTTCCTCATGCAACTCATTGTTTCGGATCTCCATGTCTTTCATGATTTGGGACCTGGTTTGGAGTTCCACAGCCAAGTTATTTAGCTCCTCTTGAGACTGAGAGTGCAATTGCTGTAGGGTTTGAAACGCGGTCTCAGCTTCCTGGAAACGCAAATGCTCTTCTTGTACACAACTCCACAATTTGACTAGCTCTGATTGCTTCACCGTGAGCTTGTGACTTTGATCTCCCAGTTTCTCCAAGAGACCATCCAGCTCAGAGTGAAGATTCTGATTAGATCTCTCAAGCACAAGGCATTTCTCCTCAGAAAACTTTAACTTAGCAACTTCATCCTCTAATTCACTGTTAAGCCTTTGGGTTTCTTCTTGAGCATGGTATAGTTTGAGTTTTAGATCCGCAATTATGTTCAGGCACTGTTGGTACTGAAGCACAGAAGCTTCCTTATCATCAGTCAATTTCGAGATTGTTTGCTTCAAGTTTTCAACTTCTACTCCAGCCTTCTCAGCCCGCTCATTGATAAGCCTCGCATCTTCCTCAGCCTTCCTCAGTCTCTCTTCTAGGTTAGATATTGTTTTCAAGCATTGCTTGTATTGGACAAGAGCAGCTTCCTTGTCAGTTTCAGCTTTAGCAAGGCTCTCCTTCAAGGCGAGAGTTTCAGCTACGGCTTTGCTGGCTCGCACATTTATTTCTCCAGCATCCTTATGGGCTACAGAGATTCCGTCTTCCAAATCAGCTATCTTTTGCAGGCACTGCTGATACCGAAGAAGGCTGGATTCCTTTTCCGACTCTAGTTTCTCGAGAGTTTCTCTGAGTGTTTGGACCTCAGCTTCTGCACATGCGGCTCTGTCATCAAGTCCCCTTGAGTTCTCTTGTGCACGAGATACTACGGATTCTAGATTTGACAGTCTCTCCAAATTCTTCTCAAACTGAGCTAGGCTAGCTTCTTTTTCAGCCTGCATTTTAGAAAGGGAATCTTTTAATGCCACAACTTCAGCCTCAGCTTTACTAGCTCGTTCAGATTCTGAAAGAAATTGGGTCTTGAGATCATCTCTTCTTTTTCCATCTCCATCATTAAAATTCAGTCCCTTTCTTGCTTTTCCATTACTCACAAACGGAGGTTCTTCACTAAAATCTATATTCCTCTTTACGGATACGGTATCTGGGTCAAACCGAGCTCGGATAGGAGGAGGCATATCTGGTGTTTGTGGATCAACATCATTTGTTGAAGCACCATCATGCGATTCATCACCAAATATCAAGGGAACTTGGCTTGGGAACGCTTCTGATATAGTCTGATGAGCCTTATGGATTACACCGGTTGCATGATTATATCTTTCGGCTAATGCGCGATATGCACGATAGAACTCTTCAACCAATTGTAAGAGTTCAGGACGTTTACGGTAATACATCTCTGCTCGCCTAGCAAATGAATCTGCATCTTCTTCAAGAACCTTGATCATTTTCTTCACATTGCTATCCATATCTATATAAAAGAATAAAACATTTCAACAAAATAGCAAATATACAGCAAGTTTCACTCAAGTATAGTCAAAAGAGCTTCATGATTTTGTATCCCTGGACACTAATGATGCTATTTCATAGGACACATAAAACTCAAGCGAAAGCTAGAAATCGATTTTCGAACATTGCAATCATAAGATACAGTAGAAGTAGCTAGCCTTTAGCAACATACCTGCAAGATTCTCCTGAAGCCATTTAGAGTTTTTAGGGGTATTGTGACTATCCCACCACCATGAATACATGCGTTTCGAGTTACTCTTTGCCGCAATCTCCATGTTTTCAGCAAATACAAGCAGACCACAAAAATGTTCACACAAAACCTCCTTCGTCTCAGACTCTCTCACCTACTTAACAAATTACCTGATCAAAGAAAAAAGGCAAGGATTAAGCTACCATAAGGATGAACAAACTGATTGTCAAATAACAAATTACACAATTGTGATTTTCGATTATGTAATCGCCACAAAGATCATCTCATGCTCTTAAATCCAGAGAACAACAAATTGATTCCGAGTCAGAAAATCATCACATCACACGATCACGCAGGAAAACATCGATTACAGTGTATACATACCCGAAACTATGATCCAAAAACAGTTACTGGATTTATCAAACGAATCGGAAATCACTGAATTCGAGTTCATACAAAAAAAACGAATCGCACATCGATAATCGAAGATACAATGGAAAAAAATTCAAGCGTTTACCGTTTCAAACGTTTAGTTTTCTTCTGGAATTCTGCTAGTGAAGCTTCCATTTCATCATCTTCTTCGCATATATCTCGTACTGTGTTCTTCTAGATCTTTTTTTTTTTTTCTCTCTATACTTTGTTAGGCGTTTTTATGCTCTGTTTCTGCTTTTTACGCTGCGAAGAGTTTTTGCTTAGGTTATGGTGGGGGCTTAGAGAGAGAGAGAGATAATTTTAGTAAAATGACGAGAATACCCTCGTGTACGAATTCTTCCCTGAAATGTGTTTCTCGGGATTGCGTGGGATAATTGGCTTCTTCCTAAATTGATGTAATTAATGATTTTTTTAATGTAAATTACGCCATAAATTACGTGTCTCATCATTACATGTACTAATTTAATTTTGATTTGAAAACAACTTTATGCTAGTAGGTTCTGTAAACTGAAAGTTAAATCCATCATAAATATGAGTTTCAAATAGTTTGATCACAAGCAATGTTATTAAAACCGAACCATCAACCGAACCAGATAAATTTTTGAATCATGGATCAATGGTCCGATCGGATCGAATCGATTGAACCGGATTTAATAGTTTTTAAAAAA